GAGAGAGAGAGAGAAAACCGCGCATGAAGGTCCTACGTCAATACGGTGTTTCGCGCAGGCAGGCGTATTATTAAATTCGCACCTGCGTATAAACCTCGCGATCGATGAGCAATTATTTTATCCGACTTTAGCAACGGCATCGCCGTGTGGATGTGTATTACCCGCGCACTGATGAACCCGACGAGCCGACGTCACATGGACACCGGGTAATAAGGCGAGATCCGAGCTCTTTGTAATCCCGACGTCGCCGATCTCGCGTACTCAACTGCGCAGATTTTCCTCAAAAGGGTACGGCGCGCGCGGCGTTAAAATATCTTCGAGCCGGTACCCTCGATCTTGTCCTGATTACGAACTGATAAAATAAACGATCGGAGAACACGAGCGCGCGCGCGCGATCTCCATAACGGCCGTGATAAACGTTGATTTTTGCATCGATTACAGCTAATATGAATATAACGACCATCGCCGCCGTCGCCGACGGAATATAGAGTAGTTTGCACGATGTTTCTCTTTTCCTTCTCGCCAGCGGGGCTACTTACGGCGCATGTTTAAAAGCGTACTGGAAAATTGCTTTTTTAGCGGCCAAAAAAAAGCGATTCTACATACACTGTTCAGCAAACATTTGTAAAGTCGGAGTATTTCAGCTTGGCCGGCGTGCCTAGTGGCCATGAAAAGAACGAACTGGTTTAACTGCAGTGTTTTAAAATACATTCTTTGTTATTATCCACTACGCGATATCTAAAGAGGTATCTTGGAAATCAGCTTTGTTAAAAATATCCGTAATCTGTTACGTATGCCCGTCCAGTTGTTGATTCATGTTTCTGCTGAATTCCCACATAAGCGCGGAGGATTAAAGATATAAACCGTGCTTTAACATTTTCCATAATCTGCATCTTCGCTAATATTATCACAAGATTTATCCCCTCGGATTTTGCACAGTGGCATAAAAATGTATGCAAAAATAGCGGCATAAATTGTGTGCAGAATTGTGTGAAACGAATCGACCATGTGTTTAATGTGATGGATACATACGTGATCGATTGATTTCTCCAGGCGTATGTTTACACCATAATGCAATTTGCAATCCATGTGGAATTGACCTTCGACCTATCTGTGACGTCACTTTTATTCTTTTTCTTTCATTCTTGTCGCTTTTGTCGAATGTCATTTACAAGCGATTATCCGATTTTTTGAACTTGTCTTCCGCGAGATTGATAATCCCGCGGAAATAAATAGATCAAACGAATAATACGATAGATAAGATAGAATAGGCGACAGCGCGATATCAAGTTAAAGAGTTAGACAAGCGAGCGTTGTATTCGTCGTGGAGCGTTTAAATTTTCGACGTGTCAGTTACACGCGGAATTTCACCGATCGTGAGAGAAGTCGCGTTGCGCGCGACGTAACATAAAATTTCGGACGTTTGGGAGTGACGTGTGGGAAGGAGAGAAAGAGAGAAAAAAATGGGGGAAAAGAAAAAGGGGGGATTTCGTATAATGGATCATGCATGGGAGCTTCGCGTGTTCTCTCGAAACCGCGGGCGTGTATTTTCGGACAGAAGTTCTCCCATCATTTGTTCGGAGCCTGACGAGCCCTCGTAACTCGCGGCTCTTTGCACGGGCTTTCAGAGGCTTCGCTCGTACTTTATCGTCGTTTGATGCTGCGAAGCACTCGGGGTAAATATCCTCTCGACGATCTGCGGAAGGAGCAGCAGGAGTCCATCCATTAAATGTTAACGCCTCGACGCTATATCGCGGACATAGGTTGCGCACGTTTCGCCAAAACTGCTGAAATCGTGCGCTCATGAATGAAATGCTCTCGCCGAAAAGAAGCGGTTAGGAGCGGATTTAGGAGAGTATCGTTTCTCCGATTTTCGCGCGTATCCGTACGAGATAGAAGCCAAAATTATCAACTTCGTATTTATATCTCTGTGCAAACAGAAGATTTTCAGAGTCTTATAAGCTTTAGATAACAATGTTGGTCGAACTTGAAAAGTTCCGTATACGATTTGAAAGAATGTAACGTGTTTTTTTTGCATGTTGCCTATCTACATTGCAAAAGAGTAATTTTAAGGAATAAAACAGACAACGTTTATATAAAATAATTGTTTTCACTTCAACCGAAGTTTTATGTTATTTTTATAAATCTATTGAATGGTCTGTTTCTTTATTCATAGTTTTTTTTAATCTATCACGTTCGTGGTTTTGAATGCATGCTTTTTTCTGGAAAAAAAGAAAAAAAATCTCTTTGAGCCCGCGTCATTTCGTTTCTCAGCTGCGGATAACAAAGCCCGCATCAAAGCTCGTATGCTTTAGGTTTGATCGAGGACATTTTCATTGACTACGGCTTTTTTTAACCCCCTTAAGCGTTTAGATTTATCGCGATTGCACGCAAGGACCGTGTATGCAAACATGCGACGAGGGACGCCTTGCGTGCCGCCTTTCACTTTCCTAATTACCATGTTCCGTCACAACGTGATGTGGCTACGAAGTCGATCGGGATGAGAGAT